TATCGTAATACAGGGCCATCATTTCTTACGGCTGTAAACTTTTTAGGTCAGAGCGTTACCGTGGCTGACGCGTTGCGGCTCAGCGGCGTAGGAACAGATGGGCGCGTGTGGAGGAGAGCCTTCTGAAGCCCGGGTGCGGTCGCGCCGGAGCCCTGGCTGGTGGAAAACGATGCCGCGGCCTCACTAGTGGCCGTGGCCACCTTCGCTCAGTGAGTGCCACGAAGTGCCAGGGGCTGCACTCGGCACCTTGTAGAGTCTCGTTTGGTCTCCATGGCAACCACAGGAGTGTGCTGCCTTCTCCCAGTTTTGTTGATGAGGAAACAACAGGTGAGAGGTTAAGCAGCGCACCCACACAGGCGATGGTCAAGAAGTGAATCCGGTCTCCTCCCCTCCCAGACTCCAGCCTGACACGGCCCTGCGTGGGCCCCGTGGTGCGACCGCATTGGGAAGGAAAGCCTTGCGAGATAGGCCGCTGCCTCCTTCCCGGGGCACATGTAAAGAACCACCTCCGTGGAAGATAATTCAGTGATGTGAAATTGCTGCTCTGCCGGGAAGCGGAGCCCACCCTGCACACGCAGCCGGACGTCCCTCCCGGGCGTCAGTGGGGCAGAGCTCGGACAGCCGCTGTCGCCTGCTGCTCGGTGCGGGGCCCGGGCGGGGCTGTTCTGGGCTCAGATCTCCACAGCGGGAGGGTTTGCAAGAATCCTGAGCTAATATTCTGGCTGCCCACCAGGTGCCCTGAAGGCCCTCTCAGTCTCCCCATTTATCAAGCGGCCAGAAGGCTCCCCTGCAGCCGCACATGTCCGGGCCGGGGCCTTGGACGGTGGGGGTGGGTTGGCGCCCCCGGTGCCAGCGGGCCCCTGGATTCCAAGGCTCTGCTCGCCCCCTCTGTAAACTGCAGGCGGGGGTTTCTAACCTCCGCCTCACCCGCTGCCGGGAGGGCCTGAGGAGGTTGCGGGTGAGGGCTCTGTGAGCTGCGACAGGCGGCTCCCAGGGCGGGCAGCCCCTGCTGGCGCGCACCTCGCTCATGCTCAGCGCGGCGGCGCTTGCAGGGCCAGCACCCACCGTCTGCGGCTTGAAGGCGGGACCCCCAGCAGAAGCGGGCCGCTCGCATCGCTGCCCTGTGCGCTGTGTCGCTGGTCTGCAGTGCACCCCAGTCTCTGAGCACCGCCCACCCTGTCGAGCTGTTGACACTGTTGTCACCCACTTGGCGTCACGCAGGAGACAACATCTGTGGCAGCCTAGCCCCCGGGCCCTGAAGCGAGCGACGGCTGCAGCCCTCACGCAGTTCATCGCTGTTTATGGGTCCTGCCGTTGGCAAACGTGTCGACTTGCTAAAAGTTACTTCTGACCCCAAATCAGTCCTTAAGGTGCTTTCCAGGTGGTTTAGGGATCTACAGAGCAGTGAGCCATGGGAGCCCCCGAGATGCGTGTCCCCCGCGGAGGTGGGACAGGGTGGGGTTCTGCCTCTCCTCTCAGCGCCTGCTGTGAACGAGGGTCCTTTGGCTGTCTGCCTGGTGCCGGGGGCTTTGCGTTTTGGTGCTTCATGTTGGTGGTTTGCTGTTTCCAATGGCCCGGAGCGCAGTGTTGCCGGCGGCCTAGCCCAGGCAGGCGGGGACAGCTGTGACAGAGAGGGCGCGCGTGTTGGACGCGCTTCGTGCAGACAGAGGTCTAGGCCCTCGGCCTGCGGTCCATTGGCAGTGGGCCAGCCCTGCGTTAAACAAGGTGTCTTTGAGCAGGAACACACCGAAGACAAGGTTATGTGTTGATTGACAGACAAAAATGCAAACAGAGAGAGGCTCCAAGGACCCAGCCCCGTGTTCCCCCTGGGGCTGTGGCTTGGTATTTGCTAATTCCGCGTTTGTGGCCACTCTGTCGGAGAAGAACGGAACTCCCTGCCACAGGGCGGACCGAGGGCAGCGGCCGCTGCAGCCCGGCGGGCAGGTGGGAGCTGTCCGTGGTGCTGCCCGCCGCCCGTGCGCCCCTGTGCCGGTGTCCGCGGCACGCAGGGCCAGGAAAGCCTGCGCCGCAGGCCAGAGGCGGGGAGGCTGGGACAGAGCGCCCGGAGGGTGACGCGCACTCGGCTGGAGTGGCAGTGGCCAGCGCTGGCCGTCACCTGGGGCGTTCCTTGCCAGTTGGGCCTTGGGGGAGGATGCAGGGAGGAGGCGTGTACCTGCGGGAGGCAGACAGCTCAGGGCACACGGCCCGGTCACCTACCCCTCGTGTGTTTGCACACACAGTTCCTGCGCCGCGTGACGCTGGGACGTTGGAGGGCCCTGGACCCAGTGACCTCATCCGGACGGGCCGCACAGCTGCCAGAGGCGGGAGTGGAGCCCTGCTCTGGCACTAATGACATGGGTGTCGTCTTCGTGCGTGAGGCTCCATTTTCGTATGTTTTATTTCCCTTCCATGAGACAGAGCCATAGAAATAGAAAAAGGCTCCTTCGGTTGTCACGAGGAACAGTGGTTTCTGCTCTCCGGCACATGCGCGTGTTCCCCGCTCGGGGCGCCCTGGCCGGCTTTGGCTGCGCCGTGTTTTACCGACTTCGCCGGGGCCTCGTCTACGCAAAGCGGACTGCATCCCTGTGGAGGGAGCCGTGGGGCGACTTCCGATGGCTGCGTGGACCCGTGAAACCCCCCCCGCCCCCGCAATCAAGGCACAGGATGTTGGGGGCAACCGCCAACGTGCTCCCGCGGCGCTAGCGTCCCCGCTCCGAGATGTCACGTGACGGTGCTTCCGCAGGGACTCCCAGGGACTCTGAGTCCATGGTTTGCTGTCACTGCCGTTCCTCGTCCATGGAGTGGCTGCGCCACGTTCCGGGTGTCCGTTCTCCGGTCTCCCGTTCGGGGCCATTAGGAGTGGAGCTCCAGGAGCACCCGTGTGCCTGTGCGCCCGTGCGTGTGCAGACGCGAGCGCCCACACCCTGTGCTCCGCGTGGGGCTCCCAGTGGACAGCGGCGGGGCCGTTTCCTGCTGTGGGCGCCCAGGCAAGCCGCCCCGTGCCCGAGCCAGCTCCCCATTAGGATGGGGTAACCCGTTGACTCTCCCATCCAGCACGTACTGCGTGCCCACTGTGTGCCCCGCGCCAGCCTTGGGCACGAGACCCGATAGCGACCGAGACCGGCTCCCAGCTCCCGGGTGCCGTCTCGCCGTGAAGAGCAGAGAAGGCTCACCAGGTGGAGATGAGGAGGGTTAGGATGGCAGCAAGACAAGATGATGTGACCGGGAGGACCTGGTGACGCAGCGCCTCTCTGAAGAGGTGACGTGGAAACTGAAGCAGAGGGACAGGAAGGAGCTGCCGGGGGCGGGGCGGGGGGAGGGGCACGGGGACTTGCCCTGCAGCCCCCGGTGGGCGTGTGCAGTCAGCTCCCAGTCTCCGGAGGAGGAGGCGGAGAGGCTGGGAGCGGTGAGGCGCAGGCAAGTGTGAGAACTGCGGCTTTTGTTCTGAGGTCCGTGGGGAGGGTCTTGGGGGGACGAGAGGGATCTGGAGAGATTCTGGAGCTGGGTGTGGAGGGCGGACCGTCGGGGCAGGGGTGGAAGCGGGAGTCGGCTTCTGTCCACAAGTGACCGCAGCCCCTTTGCTTAGTTTCGCACGGGATCCGCAGCGGCGTGGATCGGACAGCGCCGGTCGTACAAGTGTGGCAGGAATTTCAGAGGGGTGGCGCGGACAGCCTGTTTGGATCCGCCGGGTGCTGGGAGTCTGGGAGGCGGCCATCGGTCCTGCAGGCTCTCTGTCTTTGCCCCCGAGGCTGACCTAGGCCCCGGCTGAGAAGACCCTTCTGTTTCCGCCCCGAGGGCCGAGCAGGGCGGGAGCAGATGGGCCACGGAGGACGGTGGACGGTGCGGCAGAAGGGAACTGAGGCTGGGGTTTCCTCCCATGGCTCAGTCTTCCAGAGCCTGGTGACTGGCCCCCAGCAGGAGGGACTCAGGCTGTGAGCCAGGTCACCCGGCCAGTCCTGGTCCGGCCGCGGCGCTGCCTGCGAGGACGAGGGCAAGGGCGAGTCCCGGCAGCAGCCGCTCCTTGCGTCCCCGCCTCCACGTGTAGGGGACCGGTCAGTTCCTTCCTGCTCTGAAGTGTGAGCGCCAGGCCACAGTGGTCAAGGGGCTTCCTGGACAGAGAGAAAGAACCAGCAACCATCGGCTATTTTGCACCTACCAGAAATAGCTCTGGGATGTATCTTGAGATTCCCTTGGACCCGTCTAGAGAGGGAGGACGGGAAACCCCGCTTTGCCGGCCCCTCTGCCCGGCAGGGGCCCTTCGTGCCCTGGGCTCCACCAGCCTGCGTTCGGTCCACGCTCAGGCCTCGCCGCCCCCCCGGAGCTGGGGGTCAGCGAGCCCAAGCCGCTTGCCGGATGCCACAGAGGTGGGAACCCAGGCCTTTCCTCCCAGGGCCTGGGGACCTTTGCTCTATGCGTAGGAAGCACTAGTATAGATTTATTTATCCTAAACAAATACTGTTTGTCAAAAAGGCCGAGCCCAGTCGGTCATCAAGCAGAAATAACCCTGGGCGTGCTGAAAGGCCCCGCCCGCCGCCGGCAGCGGAGACCGGCTGGCAGAGGGTGGCTGCCCCTTTAAATCGGCCTGGGGGGCGGGGGGACAAGAGCTGAGGGTGGTGCCTGTGTGACGACGGATCTCCCCTCCAGAGCCCTTCCCGCTCCAGAGCCCTTCCCGCTCCAGCCCGTGCAGCCCCCGCGCACTTCTCTCCTCAGGTCTCCCTTTCAGCGAGGCTGCTGAGTCGCGCCTGGGGCCCGCCCGGCTGTGCGCCTGGAGCGGGGCTGCGGGCCCCTCCGGGTGGGGAGCGGGGCCTCCTGGGAGGTGTCCCTGAGCCTCCGGCGGCCGCGGGTGGGGGGTGAGGGAGTGGGGGCTCTGGACAGCACGGAGCCCTGGCAGGAATGCAGGCTGGGGACCGGGCGGGGAGCAGGCGGCAGGGCTCGGCCGAGGCCCCGCGACGAAGGCCCGGTTGACCCGTCCCCTTGCTGCTCTGCGGCCCCCTCCGCAGGGTACGTCAAGGATGACCGCATCGCCTTCTGGACCTGGATGTTCTCCACCTACTTTATGGAGAAGTGGGCGCCGCGGCAGGACGACATGCTCTTCTACGTGCGCCGGAAACGGGCGTTCGCGGGCGGCGAGAGCGGCGGCGACGGGAGGAAGGTGCGTGGCCCCTCTGGCCCCAGCGGGCCGTCCCTGCGCGCTGGGCTCCTGGCGGGTGAGGTGCGCTTCCTTGCAGTCCTCACGCGCACGTCAGGAGGAGGAAATGAGGTTCTCTGAGCACCCACTATGGCCAAGAGCCGTGTGGAGACAGCGCACATGCTGGCTGATGGCGGCAGGGTGGCGGGGCCGGTGTGCCGTACTGCTACCCTTCACCGTCACCCGGAGAGGTAGCACCGTTACCATCTTTGCGTCCGTGAGGAAGCTGAGGTTCAGAGGCTGGGTGGTTTGGCCAGCGTCTCATAAGTCGTGAATGAACGGTAGAGCAACGCTCTGGCCCCAGGGGTGCAGGCTCCTGCCCAGCCACGGACAGGCCGACCTGACGAGGCGACGGGGGTGGTGACGACAACCACCCACTGAGCCCAGACCCCGGACCACACGCAGCGCTGAGCTCTCCACCCGCGGCTCGGACTGCGTCCTCCGCGCAGCTCAGCGGGGCAGCTGTTAAACCCCGTTTCCCCAGATGAGGCCACTGAGCACTCGGGGATGATGTACCCGCCTGAGGTCTTCTTTCTGCTCAATTTAAGTGTGCGCAGAAGTCAATGAAACAGACTTTGTGTTTCCTTCTGTTTTTCATAAGCGTCAGTAGTTTGTAAAATATGTAAGCCACCTGTAAGCCCCACGCGGAAACATGTGGTTTTCCTTTAAACGCAAACAGCGGGCGGCCATGGAGGCGGGTCTGGAGCCCGCAGCCAGCCGCCGGAGCGCGGGCCCTGGCTCCCGTCAGTGGGGTCTTGCGCGCCGCATGCCTGCAGCCCCTGCCCTGCGTGTGCCTGCTTTTTGAGCCTGACACATGGCAGAATCGGTCCTCTGCACATGGCCAGGCCTGGTGGCCGCTGCAGAGGACACACCGGGACCTCCCTGCCATGCTGGCCTCCTGCACGCCGGTGGCAACACCGCTGGTCTGGCAGGGCTTCGTGGCATGCAGGGAGACCCGGGAGCTGGCCTGGGTCCCTTGGCATTCAGCTGGTATGTGCAAGCAGCTGGCTGTGACTGTGTTGTCACGGGGACCCAGAAGTGTATCATGGTGTGGCAAATATGTGTACAGGGACCAGAAGGAAGGGGGGCGGCCAGCAGGGACACCAGGGTGAGATGAGTCTTAAAGGAAGGGAAAGGTGCCCCCAGCAGGGGTGACGGCCCGGATGGTGGGCCTGGCAGTATGTAGGACCCCCACGCACTCGGGTGTCGCCGGAGGTTCCGTGGGACTGGTGTGGAAGGGGAGGCAGGCAGGAGCCAGATCACAGGGACGCTGAAGTCACACCCAGGAGTTGGGTGTTACCCCCAAAGCCCTGAAAACCACTGAGCCTGGTACCCTGAAGGAGGGGGCGTGGTGCGAGGTCCATTCCGCAAGCCCTGGCGGGTGGGCAGGGGACCAGAGGGGGTTAGAGCAGAAGCCAGGAGGCTGCTCGGGGAGGGGCTGCTGGGGGCTGAGCTGGGGACAGGGCAAGGTGCAGAGGGGTGGTCAGGTGCCAAGGACACCAGCTTGCCCATGTGCAGAGGCCACAGGTGACTGAACCGGGCAGGGGAAGACTTGGCCCTTGGACTCCGCGAGCATGGTGCCCCAGGAGGGAGGCAGCAGGAGGGGGCGGAGCATCGGGCAGGTTGAGTGGGGCGGAGGTGCCCGTGGCGAGGTCTTCTAGGTAGTGGATCTCAGCTCAGAGGTCAGGGACGGGGTAGAGATTTGAGCTCATCGGCACTGAGGTGGTCCCCGGGGGCATGGAGCGTGGGCTAGCCTGTCGCTGGAGGAGCAGCAGGAGACAGTGAGTGAGCGGCCAGAGAGGTGGAGGGTCACCCCTCCTGCTTGGCATCTGCTGGAGTTCACAGTGTAGACTGGGCCTTTGTGCAGGATCTCGGTCTTCTCCCAAAGGCAGCCTGTTGCAGCCAGAGGCTCTCAGAAGGACGGTCCCTCTGAGACACTCACAGCTGTCCCTGGAATTTCAGAGCTGGGAGAGGTCCAGCTCTGGTCAGGGAAGCTTTCCTTCGTCTGCCTCAGTCTAGAGTTTTCCAGGAGGGCAGGTGGGCACAGGGAGAGGCCCAGGTGGGCTGGGGAAAGGAATGGGCAGGGTGGCTCTCACCTGGGGGACAGAGGTTCCCTGGAGCCAGGGCTGAGGGATGTGGAGCCGGAGGGGCGGGGCGGGGCGGCCTTGCGTGACCACCTGGGTCCCTGCACATCGTTGACTCAGCCCTGGCCCTGCCCTCGGAGCCCCAGTGCGCTGGGACGGACCGCGCGGCCAGGGACACAGGACTGGGCGCTGCGATGGTGTGGAGGGTGGGGAGCAGGTCGGAGCCCACCAAGAGGAGGTGGCGTCCTGCCGGAGTGTTGCAGGACAGGGAGAGGGACGCCAGTGCGCTGGGTCAGGCCCACCTGTGACAGCCCCGTCAGGGTCGGCCCTGCGGGGGCGGGCCACCGTGTTTGAGAGGCAGGGGGCGGGCAGCGATGTGAGGAGGCCCCGTGGGTCTAGGGGCTGCAGGGCAGCAGGGAGTGGGTATGGGGGAAACCCGAAGGCAGCTTCCCAGGCACCTTCTGGCCCCCGCCATTCAAGAGAAGAGAAAGAAAGAAGAGCCCTTGGCAGGTGCCGCGTGGGTCCTCTATGGCGCCTGCGCAGTGTGGGGCCTCCGCCGAGCATGCGCGCTGAGAGTCCTCTGCGGCAAGCCCAGGCTGCTTCCCGCCCCTTCCCATCCTGCAGCCGCGAGAGCGGGTACCCAGTCACCATGGCAACCTGCGGGCTTCCTGTGCTAGCGGGGGAGGGTGGATGGGTGGCCAGCGGCTGGCTGCCTGCGGGTGGGTTGGGGAGCAGAGTAGGGGTGGGACAGGACGCTGGGGTCGCCCATACTCCTGCAGGGTCCCAGGGACAGCCTCCGAGGCCCCGTGCTTGGTTAGCTCTGGGTCTCGGAGCCGGAGGCCACGGGCAAGGCTGGAGTCTACGCCTGAGTTAACACCCGCCTGGCGCAGTGGCCGGGGCGGTGGCGCCGAGCGCCGCAGCGGGGCTGACTCACACCTGCCCCTGCCACGCAGCTGGCGGAGGCCGAGCCCGAGGTGGAGGTGGAGGTGTACCGGCGGGACTCCAAGAAGCTGCCGGGCCTGGGAGACCCTGACATCGACTGGGAGGAGAGCGTCTGCCTGAACCTCATCCTGCAGAAGGTGCGGGCCGGCGGGGCGGGGCTCCGGCGCAGCGGTCGGTGAGCGCTGCGGGGCAGTGAGCCCTGCACGCACGCGGCCTGTGCTCTCTTGCAGCTCGACTACATGGTGACGTGCGCCGTGTGCACGCGTGCTGACGGGGGTGACATCCACATCCACAGGAAGAAATCCCAGGTGAGCCACGGGGCCGAGCGCTGCCGGCCTCCGCCCTGCTAGCTCAGCCCAGAGACGCGACCCTGCTTGCCCGGGGTTTGCTCTGGGGAGGCAGGTTCCCTCACTCCCTGCACCCGAGTGAGGGGTGGGCTGCAGAAATCCACCAGCTCCGGGCGTCCTGTGCCCCGTGTGTGGAGCACAGAACCAGGGCACCCCCCGCCGCCCCCAGCTCCTTCAGGAGGTGGTCCCTCCGGCTGTGGCCTGGCTCTGCGCAGTGTGACGGCAGTGGGGCCCGCTCTGCCCTTGGCTCTCCTTTCTTTCAGCAAGTGTTCGCGTCCCCCAGTAGACACCCCATGGACAGCAAAGGGGAGGAGTCTCAGATCAGCTACCCCAACATCTTCTTCATGATCGACAGCTTCGAGGAGGTGGGCCGGCTCCCCTGGGCTCCCGGGTCAGAGGCTTCCCTTGCTGGGGCCTCAGCCCCTTGCACAGAGACGGGGCGCGGCCGGGAGCCGCCGGGGCCGGACTGCTGCCAGCGTGGTCTCCGCTCTGATGTTGAATGTGTGGCAGGGGAGCCCCCCAAGCTCGGATCCACAGCCCCCCCACCTGTGAAATTGTGGTCATCTGTCCTACTTACCGTCAGGGTCGGAGATGAAGGGGGCATCATACACGCCTACAAAAGTGCTGCCGGGGCAGAAAGGGGCATTGACGCCCACGCTGCCCTGGCTTGGGTCCCGGGATGTCAGAGGGGTGGGGCCTCAGAAGTCATCCTGGCCACGCTTTGTTTTAAGGTTGGGAAGCCGGGTCCCAAGGCGAAGGGGGACTCACCCCAAAGACGGCTGCTGGGAGGAGCTGGGCTGCGTCCCACTCCTGACCGGCTCCTGACCGGCGCGCACCAGCCCAGCCGGTCTCCTCGTTGGGCCCCTCAGGGCGCCTGCGCCCCGAGGAAGGGGGCGTGGCTTCCGGGGTCTCCTGGATTTGATGGTGTCTTGAAGCACCTTAGGCTCAGGGAGCTAAGTGCCTCTCCAGGCTCACACAGATAGTTCGTGGCAGACCTGAGATGGGAACCTGAGTCTATGTGACCTTCAAACTCTGTGTCACTTTGTCTGCACATGAGCCTGAAGGTCAGGGTGGGGCAGGGCCGGAGGGGCTGCCGGCACCGCCCGAGTGAGGGAGACCCCAGAACGGGACGCAGGCGGGGTGGTCCTTGCCCTCTGCCTGACTCCTTAGCCTGGGAGTGTGATGAGGGACCAGGTCCTCCCAGGGGAACACAGGCACGCCCCCTGCTGGACGCCGCCCCGCTCTGCAGTCAGCTGGCCCCTGTTCCCACACGGCTCAGCAGAGGGCGGAGGTCTGGTGGCCACAGCTCTCTCCACAGCTGCAGCTCCATGCTCTCGCCTGCAACGCTGGAGTTTTCCTGAGCGGTCCTCCCAGGCAGCGCCAGGCCGGGCAGGGTGAAGGGGAGCTGGCCGGGCGACGGGGGCGGCGGCCCCCAGTTGATGTCCCCTCCCACCTTGCCCCCACTCCAGGTATTCAGTGACATGACTGTGGGGGAAGGAGAGATGGTGTGTGTGGAGCTGGTGGCCAGTGACAAAACGAACACGTTCCAGGGGGTTATCTTTCAGGGCTCCATCCGCTACGAGGCGCTCAAGAAGGTGTACGACAACCGCGTGAGTGCCGGGCGGCCCAGGGAGGCCCCGAGCCCCTGTCTGACTGCCCGCTAAGGTGGCCCGGGGCCTGCCTCATGGGGCCTTCTCCGCGGCCGCTCCGCGTGAGAGCGCCCCTGCGGTCAGTCCCTGGCTGGCCGGCCTGAAGGGAGAGGACGCAGGGACACGGCCCCTTCATGAGCTGGGCGCCATCCTAGGCTCGCCGCCCTCGGACCGTGGGGGCCGCGACAGGCAGGCAGGCTCGGGTTAGAGTCCTGTCCCCAGCCCGGCCCTGGGCTTGCCGTGGGCGGGGGTCATCGGGCCATCGGGCAGTGACGGGGTGTCTGTCTCGGGGCTCAGTACCCCTGGCGGGACTAACCCTTGAGGGATGGCTGTCCTGGCGACTCGCGTCACCAGGGAGAAGCCGGCCCCCAGCCTGGCTCAGGCCACCTCCTCCCTGCCCACAGGTGAGCGTGGCCGCCCGCATGGCACAGAAGATGTCATTTGGCTTCTACAAGTACAACAACATGGAGTTTGTGCGCATGAAGGGGCCACAGGGCAAGGGCCACGCGGAGATGGCCGTCAGCCGGGTGTCCGCCGGAGACACGTCCCCCTGTGGAACCGAAGAGGACACCAGCCCAGCCTCGCCCGTGCACGAGCAGGTGAGGGCCGCGCTGCCGGGGCCCTGGCCACCTGTCCCCTAACCTGCTTCCCCCGTCCCCCTGAGCCTTACGGCCCCCAGCGAGGTGGGTGTCCTTGTCCCCATCTCTCCGGTGAGGAGGTCAGAGAGGGCCAGTCACTTACCCGGGTCACGCAGCAGCTTAGTGCCCGGGCCAGAGCTTTGTCTGCTTCCCCGAGCTGTCGCGGCAGCCAGGCTCAGCGCCCCGGTCCTGGGTCTGCTCCGCGGGCGCGGGCAGTGCCAGGGGAGCGGGTGAGGGGCAGGAATGAGGGGGCCTCGCCCCGTTCGGTAGGGAAGGGCCTGGGCACGCAGAGGCCCTGGGCCGCCCTGCCCGGCCGTGCGTCCGCACCTCTGGGAGCTCGCCTGCAGCGCCGTGGGCCAATGAGAGCTTCCCTGTCCCCAAACCTGGGAGCCACCCGGGTTGCAGGACTTGCTGGTGCTGCCCCCGGTCGCATGACTCTGGTGTGGCAGCCCCAAGCCTGGCGGCCCCGCCCTTTCCTAGGCCCCACCATCCCCCGGGACAGGAGCCCAGGGCAGCGGCTGCTCATTCCCAGAGGTTCCCAGCGACCCAGGGCTCAGGCAGGAGCAGCCCTCAGCCCACCGGCTGCTCCGCCCCACTTGGGCCTCCAAGAGGGGCTGCCCAGAGTGGGGCCCTGGGAGAGGACCGGCCCGCTGGCCCCCCGGGGGTGGACAGGCGGCCTCGCCCGGCGCTCCTCCGGGAGGTGGCGGGGTGAGTTGCCCTGCGCCGGGATCCCGTGTCTCCTCTCTGAGCCTCGGCTGGCTCACCCAGAGATGGGCCGAGGACGCCCGCTCCCTCCGGGGTGGGAGGCTCGGGGCCCGCCCCCAAGCTGCTGCACAGACCGGCCCTCAGGCGTGCACCCCGCCAGGAGCAGCCGCCGCGGTGGGACTGCCTGCTGGTGGCCCCTGCCTGCTGGTGGCCCCGTGGGGAGTGACGCTAGAGAACGCAGGGGACGCGCCTTGCGCTGAGGTCCTGGGAGTGCATTTGCCACCCGCTCCGTTCTGTCCAGTCACAGTAACCACGAGTGGCTCCGGTAGCCAGGGGCGGCTTTCTTTACCTTCTCCATGCCTTTCCTGTTGCGTATCTCCTGTGATGGATGTGTTTTACAGCAGAGCAGACTAAGTGGCGTTCTTCTGTAACACGCGGGGGCGTGGGGCCCTGGGCCAGAGCCTCTGCTCGCCACACAGAGGCCATTTCTGCTTTGGGGCAGTTCCTGAGGTCAGGAGCCCAGCTCTCCTCCCTGGTCCTGCTGCTGGCCGAGACCCTGACAGAATGTGCACACGGGAGGGCCCCGTGGAGGCGCGGCCTGGGCTCTAGGCTGGGCAGCCCGGTGCCAGTCCCAGCCAGCTGTCCGCTGGGCGATTCCTGCCCATCGCTAGACCTTCCTGAGCCTCGACTGTCCCATCTGTCGGGCGGGAGCAATGGCTGCGCCCTCCTAGGGAGGCCCTGCGACCCTGGAGTCAAGGGGTGGGGCCTGCCAGGGCCACGCCGGTCAGTGGCAGGGCCTGGCCTGCTGGGGACAGCGCAGGCTCCCGCCACCTCCGCTCACTGTGGCACAGCCCCCTTTTCCGGGGGCCGTTTGGAACCCGGGGTGGCTAACGCAGGTACTGTGTGTATTGTGGTTTCTGGTGTCTGTTTTTTATCTTTTGAAAACCTTCCCTGACTTGTGGGAGGACCACCTGGAGCCAGCAGCCGCCGGACTGTGATGGACGTCGGCGCCGTGACGAGGAGGCTGATGGGGCTCGCGAAGTCTCAGTCCCAGCTCGTCCTGTTCCTCAGATTCTTGTTTGCATGGGGAGGAGGGAGGAGATGGGCCAAGTTCCCTCTGCCTGGAACGCCCTTCCCCCCCTTCTTCACCTGGCGAACTCCTACTCGTCCGTCAAGATCCAGCTCGAGCGGGCCTCTCCTCCAGGAAGCCTTCCCTGACTTCTCAGGCGTTTGCCTCTGTGCTCCCCTGTGTCCTGTCTGTGCCTCTTTTTCTGTCTCAGCAACCATCATGCTGCCTGTGGTTGTCACTTTTCGAGCCTGTTGCCCCCCACAGACTGTGAGCTCCTTGAGGGCAGGGACCGGTGTCCTGTGCCTCCCCGTGCTTTGCGCTGTGCCCGCCTGGCGCCGAGTGGGTGTGGGGAACATGTGGTGAGCGGTACAGTGCGGTTAGGAGAGAAGCGGGAGGCGCGGGAGCGGGGGCCGCGCAGCCCCAGCCGCCGTGAAGGAGCGCCGGGCGGGGCGGGGGCGCATCAGCCGAGAGGAGGAATCCGGTGAAGGGCCCGGCCGCGGTCCAAGGGCCTGGGTTGCACTCCTGGTTTCACCATCGTCCTGCGGGGTGACCTTGGACAAGTCACACGGGCTTGTCCACCTTAGTCTCCTCATTTGCCCGGTGGGGTTAACACTGGGTCCTGCCTCGCGGAAGGCTCTGTGTATCCATGGGCTGCGGTAGGTGCGTGGGCAGCGTCAGCAGCCAGTCTTTGCACTTAAACAACCCCTGCCAGTGTCTGGGGCCCGCAAGCGGGCGGCGGCAGCGGCCAGGCCGTCCTACCAGTCCCAAGCTGGCACGATGTCCCAGTGCCTGCTGAGCCCGCTGAAGGGTGGGTCGCGGACCGCAGCCCCAGGCCCCGCTCCTCCAGCCGGGTGCCCCCGGCCTGTGTCGGGTTCAGGCTGAGGGCGGGAGGTGAGTGGGCTTTGGGACCCCAGTGGTAGGCGGGCTGCTCTGTGACTTCCGCCCTTTGTCCCCAGGTGACCTCCTTCAGTACACCCCCCACCCCGGAGCGGAACAACCGGCCCACCTTCTTCTCCCCATCCCTGAAGAGGAAGGTGCCCCGGAACCGCATCGCCGAGATGAAGAAGTCCCACTCGGCCAACGACAGTGAGGAGTTCTTCCGGGAGGACGGCAGCACAGGTGACCCGGCCCCTCTGTGCCCCGAGGGCTTCCTCTTGTCCACTCCCTCAGTCCTCACTCACGCTGAGAGAGTGGGCGCCTGTCGGGGCCGGGGGGAGGGAGGCCCGGCGGGAGGTCCACGCGTGTCTGCTGCGGGAATGACGGAGGGACGGCCCGGAGCTGGGGCTGTGGCGTTGAGTGGGTCCACCCGGAGGCAGCGGGCCCTGCCGCGCCCTGGCCGGGCCGGGACTCCAGCCTTGGCCTTGACCCCCCGGTGCGAGCCCGGGAAGTGCCCTGCGTGTCTGTGGGAGAGCGCTGCTAGCCACTCCCCTGGGGGACCCGTCAGCCAGGGGGACGAGGACGAGTCATCCCAGGTGCACCCTGTGTCCTGCAGGCTGGTGGTGCCTGGTCCCTGTGACAGGGGGGCGGGGCGGGGTGGGGGTGGGGGTGCCGGCCCAGCAGGGGGCACAGCTGGGCCGGGAAAGAGTCCCCGCTGTGGGAGGTGATCCATCTCCTCCCTGACCCAGCCTCCTTCCCGCTAGCTGACCTGCACAATGCCACCAACCTGCGGTCTCGGTCCCTGTCCGGCACGGGGCGGTCCCTGGTCGGGTCCTGGCTGAAGCTGAACAGAGCGGACGGAAACTTCCTTCTCTATGCACACCTAACCTACGTCACTTTGCCGCTGCATCGGATCTTAACAGGTAGCGTTGTTTGATGTCCAAACTAGTATCACTTCTTAGTAGCCCACCCGATTCCTGGGCCCTGGGCTCCGGAGGCCAGTTCGTGGGGGTGGCCAACCTGTGTGTGTCGTCGTCTCAGGTCAGGCCTCCCTGTCCGCACTTCCGGCGGGGCCTGCGGGGGCTGTGGGCCCTGCCGGGGTCCCTTCGGGCGGCACTCTGGGGCCGTCGCTGACGGTCGTAGCAGCGCAGCTTCTGAGGCTCGAGGAGCACGCGGGTGGGAAGGCCGGTTTCTGAAGGGGAGCTGCTGTCGGCATGGCACTCACAGGTCACATTCCTCATCTTGCCCACCCCCGCCGCCCCCTAGACATCCTGGAAGTTCGGCAGAAGCCCATCCTGATGGCCTAGCCGTGCGCGGAGCCCAGCCCCGCCGGCCCTGGGAGCGCTGCCAAGTGCCTACCTGCCCACCGCCACCGGGGTCTTCTGTGACAGCCCAGCGCCGGAGCTGGAGCCAGGCGGGGCCGCTCGACCCCTGGGGCCAGGGCCGACTCCACGAACACCAGCCCAAACTGAAGTGCCTCTTCCTCCTCCCTGCTGGCTCTGCTCCCGCGCTGTGCGCCCCCAGCCGCTGCCCTGGCCCCCTCTGAGAGCCCTCTGCGCCCACAGAGGACCCCAGACGCCATGAGGCCACAGGAGAGCGCGAAGGAGGTGCATCTGTCCAGTCCTGCCGGCCCGACGGGCGCATCCTGCGGGCGGCCAGCGGCGGGCGCCCAGCCACGGGCTTGGGTGTCCACCGTCAGCCTGCTGAAGGCTGACGGTGTAAGACTCTGCAGCGCTGTGCCAATGAACTTGAGCATCCAAGTTGGTCCTGACATGCCCTCCTCCCTGGCTTGTTCCTAAAGGGGTCACTCTGGGGAGACGGGATCCAGCTGTTTGACAGTGTGGCTCTGGGTGGGGAGCACCTCGCCCCACGCCAGTTCCAGAAGGGCCCCGAGCAGAGCAGACAGGCTCTGGTCCCGCCTGGATGGCCTTTGCTTCCAGCCAAAGAGCATCGTCCACACACACACCACACCTCCAGCCTGGAAACGTCCCCCTGTGCCTCGGCGGTGTGACCCCCAAACGTGGGGACCTACAGGACAAGAGTGGGGTCTCTGCCGAAGGGGGGTGGGGTGGGGTGGGGTTGGCATGCTCCCAGGAAGGCTCTGGTAGAACCTCTGTCCTCTGGGGGCTGGGAGGGAAGGGGGTGTTTCATCTCTGGTGTCTAGAGCTTGCTTCCCTGGCCCGAGCGCGCGGCCCTGCTCGAGGCCCTCGCTGAGGCCGAGGCGCCGGCCTCCCAGCGCCGGCCGGGTCGGGCGTGGGGGCACGCCCAGCCCCTGGCTGGCCGGCCGGGACTCCTGCCTGTGACGCCCATGTGATCTTCTCAAAGCCACGAGCCTCCTCAAGAGCAGAGCCATCTGCCCGGCCCACAGAGCGACCTGTCAGCCGGTCCCTGTTGCTGCGTTGCTGTGTTGCTGTGTTGGGAGTCCCCAGGAGTCTCTGAGTGGCTCTGGCTGTGTGTCCCGAGGTCCTCTTCCAGGGGAGCAGAGAAGAATTGGAGGGGCTTGTTCTCTTGTCTGTTTTTATTGTGCTCCAACGGTTTGCACTGGGCTCCGGAACTGGGGACCACTTGGGGGCTTTCTCTAGATTTTGTACGCTGTTATTAAAAGCGAGCTGTTGCATTTCATTCTGCCTCAGTTTGCCCACCTGTAAAACGGGGCTGACACCACCTACCTCACTGAAGTCTCCATGGTCCCAGTACAGGACTGGGGCGGACACGATCGCCAGCCCTTCAGCACTGCTGGGGTCAGGGGTCAGACTCCGATGCTTGCAGCCCCGCCCTCCCCGGCACCCAGTCCCAGGAGACGCGTGATAGGGCCGGTTTGAATATCCCTGCGCCCCAGGACAGCGCCCAGCCCGTGTTCGGGGTGTCTCCACCCAGCACGATTTCAAGCCCTGGAGCCGTGAGCCCAGCGGCCCAGGGCCCCAGGCACCGCTGGAGTGCCGGGGCAGTTCAGAATCGGGGGGGTTCTGAAGGTTGGTTTCCCCCTGGCTGCCGGGGGGCCAGGGACTAGAACCCTGCTCTGGGGGGAAACACAACCCATGGAGGGAAGGGCCCCCTTCTCCGTTCTCAGAGGTGAGGGCCCCTAGTCCAGTCCCCGACTGGAACCGGACGCAGCCCAGCTCGGGCCAGCCAAGCCCCTCTGTCCATCTGCCCCGCAGGGTCTGGGGGCCAGTCGCGCTGGCATGGAAGCGCGTTGCAGGACTTAGAAATGGGCACCAGCAGGGGGTTCGCGCTCATGCCTCGTCTGTCCAGCCCTCACGGGAGCAGGTGCGCACCGGGGTTTGCCATCCTGTATCCGATATGTGGGGAGCACCTGGCACAAGCAGACACTGTGCAAAACGCAGGTGCCGTGTCCCCATCTTACCGATGAGGAACTGGCCGGAGAAGGGACGTGAACCGCCCAGGATTGCACAGCAAGCAGGGAGGACAGGAGTCCAATCCAGGCACGTGGCCCCAGGTGACACTGAGCCCTGACGCTGCTGCTCAGGACAGGTGGGCCAGCATTTGGTGGCATTGGCCTGTCTGAATCCCCCAAAAGGTGTTTTCGAGGCTGAACCTACAACGCGCTCAGAGGCCTTGGTCACGAGGCCGTAAGCTGTTACTCTGAGGTTTGTCTTTTCAAAGTGACAAATGGCATCGGTAACAACAGTAACAAGGGACAGGGCCAGAGCCCCAGCATCCTGATGGGTCCCCTTGTTGATAAACTTTTACTTCTTGTAAGGCCACCTTTCATTTCCTGGGGACATGCCTGTCCCTTGTGTTACGCAGGGGCGGCGAAGGAGGCAGACATTTCTTAAACGGGAGTTGGAATTAAAGAACAGTTTCCCTTTGAAGAAACCTAGGTGTCTCTTTTTAAGACATTAATAAGAAAGTTACCTTTTTTTCCCCCTCGTTTAAAGAAATGCCCTGGTCCTAGAGTCAGGTAGGTGACTCAAGACAGCCAAGGCTCCGTTTCACAAGGAGAACAGCACTTGAAACAGAAGCACCAGAGAAGCGTTCAAAGAAAACAAGAAGGCGCGGAAGTGCTCTAGAGCGGGTCGCCCCGAGGGAGGGCCGGGGGAGGGCGAGCCACCCAGGAGCCAGCGCGGCCCTTGGGCCATCGGGAGCCAGTGGGGCTTCTGTCTGCACGGCGAGGAGGGTAAAGGCGTGTCCCGAACGAGACTTTTCTCCCCAAAGTACCTAGCTAGAATGAAACCAGGATCTGTTCTTGTCGCCATAATCACACAGAAGCCACTTAGCAGACTTCCGAAGAAGGAAGGAAGACCTTTTCTCCCTTGGAAGGCACTCCCGGGGCGCCCTGTGCAGTGGGACGGGCTGAGATCCGACTTGTGAAATACACGGAGATTGTCACAATATGGCGGTTTTGTTTATTTAAGGGTTATTTTTAGAGAGGGAGAAACATCGACGTGTGGTTGCCTCTCGTGCGCCCCCTGCTGGGAGCCTGGCCCGCAGCCCAGGCCTGTGCCCTGACTGGGAATCGAACTGAAACCCTGTGGTTCGCAGGCCGGCGCTCAGTCCGCTGAGCCGCACTAGCGGGGCGCTGTGGTGGTTTTAAACAATGGGCCAACGTATTGCAAATCTGCTAGCTTTCTAATGAGACTTAGTGGGTTTCATTCACATATACCCTGTTCAGTTTTCTAATTTAGCTAGAATTTAGTTTTATATTCACTTTCGAAACTCAGTATCTTTGGACACCACGGTGACTCTTTCTGTCCAGGTTTCCTCTCATCTTGGTACCAGAAAACAAAAATACTTCTCTTAAAAAACCCGCTGAGCAGGACGCAGACTCCGAGACCCTGACTCCTGGCCCCAGAGCTCGAGCAGAAGCAGCCTTCTGAGGCGTCCACCGCTGCTCTTCCAGGAAGCGAGCGCCTGGGGCCAGGTGGCCTGCGTTCCACCTGTCCCTCTCCGGAGACGGCCTGTGGGAGTCTGGCGATGACAGGTGTGTGCCAGGGCTTCCTCGTCCCTTGTCACTGATGAACTTGGCACTGACGTGATCCTCACTGGAAAAAAGCACTCCAGCCTGTCTTGGAGCCCGGAGAACTCAGGACGCCACTCGCAGGAGCCGGATCGCGAGCGCTGCGTGGCCTGGGGTTGGGGTGGGGGAAGCCAGGGCCGGCGTGTGTGTGTTTACAGCGCCCCCCCCCGCCCCCGCCCCAGGCGAGCAGGTGCTATCGCCGTAGCGTCCCGGCCCCGGGCCCAGGGCGTCTAAAGCCGCAGCCGCGCAGCGGCTCTGGGACGCTGGGTCTCCCCTTCCTCGTCCTTGGGGTCCCCACTTCTCAGGAGGTCAGGCGGTTTAGATGTAGATACGAATCATCTGTGCTCTCCTAACGAGTTTTCCGTATGAAAATACTGGAACCTGCGAGGAAACCTGTTGAGATGTGTCACTACTTTGGGGTGCAACTAAAGTGATTCGTACAAAATCCAGTTTAGCAAAAATGCCCCGGCGGCCGGCACACATTGAGGACACTGGGGCGGGGTCGCCAGGGCCTCTTTCCGGAAGCTGCAGCGTCCGGGCTGCTCGGCCCAGTCCTCTCCACACGGCGTTCGCAGCTGGCGCTCAGCGGCGCTTGGCGGCGCTCAGGAGTCTGCACTTCTATGGGAAGTCGATCTGCATGTTGAATCTTACGTTTACTTTTTTCTTCCGTGTCTTCCTCTAATGAATCTGTACCTAGCTATTTTTTTTTTCCTCAAATAGGGTATTTCAGATGAAATACAGATACTACAGCAACATGATAACTTAGCAATTGGGCCTTATTTTTTTCCCCAAAGATTTCTTAAACTTGTCTCGGCCGTGCTCATGCTGTTGGCAACGCTACAGACCTCAGCCACCCTTCCGTCAGCAAGGCGTCAGGCAGACGCTATGTTTCCAAAGTTGAGTCACAAGACGTGCATTTCAGCCTCAGCCCTCAGCCCCCAGCCCCGGTAAAGCAAGATGTGGCTTTACAGTGTGCAGTCAAGTTCCCCGGGCAGCCCCTGGTGAGCCTCCCCAGGAGCCCTCGCGAGGGGAGAGGGGACGAGACTAACAGCCAGGGCCCGGGTTCGAGTGTGGGCAGACGCCCAGTGAGCCCCTGATCTTCCGGAAGACGGATTCTGGGCCGCGGGTGCTCTGTTGCCTTGCGCGGCCATCACTCGGGCCGACCGCCGGAGGCTGCCGCTGCAGGGCCAGTGCAAGTCCTCTCCACGCAGGGGGCCTTCCCTCCTGTGGGCCGGTGCACTCGATGTCACAAGGTGACGGGCGTAGGGAAAGCCCTGCAGACAGAGCAGGAAAAAAGGTGGGAGGGACACCCGTCGGGCTGGAGCCTCTTGGAAACCGATTGCATCAGAGGTGGCTGTCGGAGCCGGCAGCCCCAGGGCGAGCCGTGCGCGGTGGCGGCGGCGGTGACGGGCAGTCAGTGGCTCCACACACCCTTGCCGCCAGGTCAAACCCCTTTCTCGTTAAATAATCAGGAGGTTCTTCTAGAGCATTTGCTTTTCGGGGGGGTGGGGGCACATGCTCTCCCCGAGGAGCCCCCTACAAGAACCTCGCTCCTGTTCACGGCTTCGTCTTGCCCTGCTTTAGTTCCTCCGTTCTGACCTAGGTGAACTCCTAGGAAGCGCTGCCAGGCCCTCGCTCAGGACCCGGTGTGGGAGTTTCACGCCCGGAGGAAGGGAAAAGAGACAAACCCCTGCAACAGCACGGCCGGTGTCGATGTCTATACCTGTTGGATGTAAACATGCTGTGCTGTGCTCAGATGACCGAGGAGCTGGGTAAGTTACAGGAGGAAGGGGAAATGTTTGTTTGGGGGATGGTAGCAGATGTCTTCTCTGTTGCCCAGAGCCTCGTGTTGAACTCCCTCCTGCCTTGGCCTCCACGGAGCCAGCAGGTCTAACAAGCTATGTCTTCCCTGTGTGTGGATCAAGGGTCTTTCACCTTGGAATGACTTTAATAAAAGTTAGATCGCTCAGTTTGAAATAACCATGGTTGTTAGTGAACTTTCATGATTACATTTTAAATAAACAATTTTGTTCGAAACATCTTAGGCGATTCCAGAAAACAAGGAAGCTGTGCCCCTTCCTGGGCGCGTGCACCTCCAGGCGCACCCTGGCATCGGCGTGTGGCCGCCGCTCCGCGAACGGCGGGGCGGACCCATGGCTGTGGGCGCACCGGGGTGGGGCTGTCTCAGCTGTAACGGAGAATCGCTGCCTCCCTCCCGGGGCGCGACCACGTGCCCAGGACACGTGTGTACGAGGGTGACCTAGTCCTGCAAGTCTGATGGTCACTGTGCCTCTCCCTCTCCCCCCGCCCCCTGAAATGTGCCAAAAGGGGCTGTAACGGGTTGTTCTTGAACAGAAGTGATAGGGGGCGCAGATGTGGCCCTGTGATTCTCAAATTTGAGCCTGTGTCAGAACCACTGGTTCAGACGCAGAGAATTTTCTAGAATTAGATGGTGGTAGCGGTGGCATCACTCTGTGAATAGACTAAAAGTGACTGCATTGGACACTGAGCGTGAACCTCACGGTAGGCGAGTTGTAGCTCAGTACACACACGCCGGCCGCCATGCGGCTCTGCCCCAGTGGCTCTGCGGTCTGGGGTCGGGCCAGTCGGCCCAAGTCCCTTGGGGCTGCCCTGCTCCCGGGAGGCGCCACTCAGCCGAGCACCTGCAGCAGCCCCTCCGCCAGGTGGCGCCGGCCCAGGCAGAACACCAGGCCCGGGGGGGTGGGCGGGGCGGGGGGGCGGCCAGTCCTCGCAGCACCTCCTGGGTAGGGCCGGTCTCTCCCAAACCAGCGAAGTGCGGAGCGATTCGAGAAACTAAAGAAATGGGAGCCTGGCGCCAGATGCCATCGTTCATTAGTGTCTTAATAGCGATCGTCTGTCGCTGAAGATTTTAAAGCCACGTAAGCTCTAAATATATTTTTCGCTATCATTTTGATCCTCTTAAAGTGTCCTGAAGAGGGCTCAGATTTTTGACCGAGAGGGACGTGGACATTGGTCCCGAGTCGGTTCACTCGCCTGGAGGCAGCGGGCTGCCTGTGCGTCTTTCTTGGGAAAGCCCCGCGTGGGGCCCGCTGTGAGGACAGAGCCAGGCGGTATGAAGCGCCCGCCACAGGCTTCCAACCACAGCCGTGAAGGACCTGTTGCTATTCCAGTTCTACCGTGTCAACACGTGACTCCGGGACGCGGCTGCTTCCCTTCTCGATCTCGCTGGGCGTGGTCTCCGCCGGCAGCGGGCACCCCCGCCCGCCCCCACGCCCAGCCCCGCGCCCCGCCCCCCGGCAGAGCTGGCTTCCGGCCACCCCCTCCGGGCTGCTGGACTTGCGTGACCGCCAGGGGCGTCGCAGAAGAACCTGACAGTGTCAAACACTGGGCTTTTGTTTCCTTGCCATTTATTCACATTTCATGGATCGTTACACTTCCTCAATGGGCTCATTCAAAAAGTAATACAAACTGAGATTACATTGTCTGGCAGTTCAAGTATTTAAAAAACAATTTCCTCTGTAAAATAGAAAGCAAACAATTTATCCATTTGATTGCTAGGAAGTGTTCCATTTCCGTTAAAATTGTGTCCGCAAAAGTTCTTCCCACGATGGCCGCGACCTTCCAAGCGGCCGCGGGCTCGCAGTCCAGGATTGGAAGACCAGTTCCCAGCCCCTCACTGTCACCTGCTGGTGCTACAGGACAACCAGCTTCTACTTAGAAGTGTCACTTACAAATGAGAATGGTTACTGGCATTTGGGGCGGGGGGGGGGAGCTGCTTAGTTTGCGAAGCCTTCGCATGCACTGTGCTTGCGTTTGGACTGTTCTGGAATCGTGGACAAATGCTCCAGAACCACTCTTGTCCTCTGAAACAAAACCACACAGGCCGTCCCCGCGAGCCCCTGAGCCCGCAGGAAGGCGGCATTTCAGGTAGCTGTTTTTGGCATGCAGCATTATCAAAAATATGATTTAGAAATGACATGGTAAAACAATCGTCCTATGAAAGAAAATCAGTCCCTAAACAGTCAGCCTTGTCCTTCCGCAACAAATGCAATGTAAACGTCTTAAAAACCTGGACACGCGTTTTCAGCCTGGAACTCCGACAGTGAGGACGGCACCGTCCGTTTTTTGCCCGCCGGGAATGCTCAGAAGGGTGAGGCGGACGCGCCGCTCTGAGGAAAGGCCACTGAGATGCTGGGCGTTCATCAAGATGCAGCGATGCCTGATTCAGAACAAAAGACACACACACCTCACTTTAGGCCACGTACGCGGTACACTTTATAGGTTTTTCAACCAAAAATGAGAATTTTGGCCCACGTTTAATCTGTTTAAAGACTTAATACTTTGTTAAAAACAATCAACACACTGGGGAAGGAAACATGAGCCCTCCAGGGCAAAGGCCCCCTCCCCGGGGGGCCGACCGGGTTAGGGGTTCACAGTGAAACCCACGCACCCTTGGGCTCCTCCGTACTAGCGCGCGCTTCAAGTGGAGACCAGCCGATCCCTAAAGCGTGAGCATCTTAGGAAAGCTGTCACATTTTGAGTTATGGTAGACACACCACATTTTCCCTGTAGTTTTCACTTTAACAGTGAGTCTTAGCAGCGAGAAGTGGCTGGGAATGTCGGGAAGGAAAGCCACATACGTCCACTAACTTAAAACAACGCTGGGGACCCCATGACCAGGGAGTAAAAAGGCGCCCCACGCACGCCCCTTCCGTCCAACACCGGTCCCGGCAAAGGCCCAGGGCGTCAGCTCCACAGGGGCCTGGGGGCGCCGGCCGAAGTCAGACTCCGTCCCCCAGTTCCAACAGCTGGGTGACCCAGGAGCACGGGCAGAGGCAGGATGACTGTAACAGCATCGACCACTTACTATAAATCCTCTGTACAAAACAGGACATGGGTTGTAACCTCAGCTCCGAAGCGCCCATGCCCACATCCCCGACACCTGTCCTCGGACCCGCACTCCCAGGACGAGCTGGGTCTCACCGCCTCCCGCAGAGGCAGGTACACCTTGCTCCGCGCGACTTGTCCGAAGTCACGCGCTCTGGCCCTGACACCCCCGCTGCAGTTAGAAAATGGCGTCGTCCAAGAATCTTGCGACAAACGTATTTGATCCTGTTTCCCTGCCCAATTTACATCTAAAAACTACTTTTAAAGCAACTACACTATCTACAGTCATCTTGACTCTTCTGAGTCAGGAGATGTGCGCTGAGGAGCAGAACACACAAGCAGGAGCCCGCAGGCACGGGCCCTGAGCCTTATTAAACAAGGTCGCCCGGTGCCAGCATCGAAGGAGTTGCAAAAACGGACCTTTCAGCACTGACACACCTACTCGTGTGCCCAGTCTCGCAAACGCTAGGATCAGGGACCTGACAGCGTGGAGGAGACACGGTGTTCTTGTGCTCACCAGGGCCCCTTCCAGGGGACATCCTGAATGACGGGAGTCTCAGGCCAGGCGCCGAGCGGCCCGGCGTGGCAGTGGAAGGCAGCGGCCGCTCACCCTGCTCTCCTCCCAGGCGCACCGCGTGCCTTCTGGTTGAGCCGCACAGCCTGCGATCAAGGCGCCTGAGCCCTACGTGGAGAGCAGCGGCGAGCGCTACAGGGCTCTCCCCGGCCACGTGACTAAGCGGACCCGCTCCATTCTGTCCTGCACTTTAACTTGGACTTCACGTTGTTTCATAAGGTTTACCGTCCATGGTTTAGAAACCATAAGCTACCAAATTTGTGCTTTTAAACTTCATTCCCGGCCATGCCCCTCTGCCCCTTCCGTGACCAGGGGATACACAAGCAACAGCACCTCGTAACAAAACTACAAAACCAAAGGAGAGGCTACTTGTTTCCTTTTGAAATGAAGCAGCAGGTCCCGAATCATGGGCAGCAGCCTCCGCGGTGGGCGCCCGCAGCTGCTGCTCGGCCCCACGCGGAAGGGGACGTCCGGTCCCCACGATGCAGCTTGAAAGGAACACATAAAGGCAGGAAAGCCGGCGGTCCCAGCGCGGCGGCGTGGCTCGCTCGGGAAGAGCGCTGTCCTCAGGCGTCCGCCGGGCTCCACGGGCCGCTCCGCCGTCCGGGCCTCGCCCACGCCCACGGCTCGGAAAAGCCTTTGGAAATCCAATCGATACCCTGATTCAGTCCGTTAAGAAATCACTTGTGGTTGGTTTAATAAATGAATGTTAAAAATCTTTCCCAAAATTTCTTTCAAATGTATTTTATACATTAGACAGTTCTCAAGAAGGCAGAATACAGTTTCTTGACACTAAACATTAAAATGTTTTATTGGCCATATCGATCTTCCTCACAAAAGTGTTCAGTTATCTAACGTTCTGAGAATGTCAGCGGAAAAAGAAAGGCCGCCTGGGCTGCGGGGCGGGGCAGAGCCGCCGCCGGCCGCGGCCGGGCGCTCAGGCGCCCTTCTTCTCCGCCAGGACTCTGTGCAACTCGTCCGCGTCCTCGCTGGTTTTGACCCGAATCAGCATGGTCACCGGGCTGCTGGCGTTCTTCTCGTCCACAGGGGGGTTGGGGACACAGACAATCAGCACGTTGTTTTTCCCCATTCGGGTGCATGGCATATTGGGAGGAATCAGGACGTTCAGCAGTATGTTGCCTACAGAGATACAACCAACACCACATGAACCGTAGCGCCACAAAAGCAGGTATTGGGGCCAACATGAAACATGAAGCAGCTCACCCTTCCTGGGTCAAAAACCGGGAGCCACAGGAGCGTCACGGACACGGGCACGGCTCCGACGGAGGCCGGCACGGGGGCCCGAGAGGCCCTGGCAGGACCGGGGCCCGGCCTGGCTGCGGGGAGCCGCCTCGGCCACCCTCCCTCCTGCCCAGGCCGCCGCCAACCGCGGCAGGGCCGCCCCGAAGCCTGTCGGCCCCTGCCCCGAAGGACGAGCACGCAGCCTACCGCGTGGCCGTCACTGCGACAGGCGGACAGGAGAGCGGTCAGGGCAAACCCGCGTCCCGGAGGCACGCGGGCTCCCCGTGATGGCACCGCCAACGAGCCGGGCTCACAGGAAAGACAGAGCCTCCCGGAAGCCCCGCTCTGAGCCCGCACAGGCGCGGCCTGTCACCTCCTCTGAGACCTGCCCCCGCCGAGACCCCCCCTCCTGCCCGTGGATTGTTTTAAGGGCAAAGCTGGGGGGTGGGCTGAGGGATGTGTTAATGATTATTTGCTATAAAAAAGAATTCCTTTAAATGACTAATTCCCCTCATGTTTATTAAACCATCCAATTTACCTACAGCTTCTTGGCAATGTTTCTAACACAGAGGAACATGAAAGCCACTTTGGTTCTTTCCTGGCTGCTGCATTTGACAGCACGGCTCTTACACAGTTGCCGCCGCACTCGTGTGAGCCCAGACACACACAGGCGGAGCGCGGCCTGAGCGGTCCCTTCCCCTCCCGGGCCCGCGCCAGCGCTCGGAGTCCCGGGGACCGCGCCGGGCCAGCCGCGCGGCGGCACCCAGCAGACCACACGCCCAGGGCCACTCTGCGCCGCCCCGAGGAGAAGGCACCCACCTAGGTTGGTGTCTGCCCGCACCAACAGCTGTGTCTTCTGGTTCGCTGTTGGTTTTAAGTGCAGAGTGCCTACACCCTTCTCCTTAAATTCATTGTCTTTCTTGTAAAACAGTTTACACCTACAGAGAAAAACAACAGGTACAGTCAGACGGACAACGGCAAACCAAGCCCCAGTTTTCTAACTCCCGCTAGCGGGCGCGCGTGGAAGATCTGCTACGTGGGAGTGGGGAGGCTCCCGGATCGGGTCTGGGCCCCAACCAGGACAAGGACATGCGGTCACCCTGTCTAGAACCCCACCTCTCTTTTTCAAATTTTTAGACAGTGGGCCCCACGGACCATTTTAAGTTGCCCTTTCTGAAACTACCTTTCTCACGTCAAAATCATGGCCAAACACTCTGTCCCGCCGGCCCGCCCCTCTCCCTGTCCCTCGTTCCTGAGTTCTCCCCAGGACCCCCGCAGCTTTTGATCTCCCTAATTAATGAGAACGCAATCAAACCTCTCCCAGCCTCCACGTCCCGTAGATGGTTAATAAACAAATCAAAACCGCTGTCTGCCCCTTGGACTGACTCTGATTAGGGAAAAAATACCAAGTCAGGGCCCCTCCTCTATGTCATCCGTGTCATTAAATCTTAGAAACAGGCAAAGGAACTGCTGGCTGCTTCCCGAAGGTCTCAGAAGGAGCGGCCGCCCAGAAACGCCCCGGGACACGCTGGCCTGTGCGACCGGACTGCTGGCTGTCAGCCTGAAACTTCCCAGTTAGAAAAACGGATCCAGGGAAGCTTCTAAAAAGGCAAAATCGGTTCTCAGCAAGTGTCTGTTAAAAATACAAATCTCACTTCGCTGACAGACACGGTGATTCGGAACTCCCCTCCGCTTCCTTCTAAAAGCAGCGGCTCTCATTGGAAAATGGGCACAGGCCCCACGCGCAGGGCCGGCAGGGGGCCTGACGCGGGCGGTGAACACCGGGCAACCCAGAGGTGACAACTCGTACAGCTGCACCCCGACGCCTGCGCTGACTTTATCAGTCCAGGTCACCCCAGTGAGTTGAAAAGCAAAACCGCCCCCACCCCTGCGGGGAAGACAGCGCTCACACACCCCTCACGCGGCGGGGGTGGGCGGGAGGCGGGGGGCGGGCAGAGCTACGAGGAAGCCCTCGGGGCGGCTGGAGACGCCCCCGGGCCAGAGCAGAAGCGGACCCTGCAGTCGGTGACAGGGGCTTTCCTCATGGGGGACCGAGGGGGGGAGAAAGCCAAGGGAGAAGAGTGGTAGATGGGGGGGCGGCGGGGAGGGCAGAACCGCCCCCCGCCCTCGTCTAAGCCCTACTAATGCGGAAAGGGCTGCATAGCAGAAGAGAGCCGGCCCTGCCCAGCAGGGAAGTTCTGGGCTCTGTTTGTTTTTACATAAACAAGCCAAGGAGTCGCCCTCGTCACAGTGCACAGAGCAGGCTCCCCGCCCCCACGGGCTGCTCTGTCAAGCCTGCGGGACAAGGTCGCCCTGTACTCTCGGGCCAGAAGCCTCCGAGCACGTGGAAGAGCAGTCGCCGAGTGGATCCCTCTGACTAGTACTTACTTTTTGGAGTAAAAAGCATCTTCTTCTTTGACCTCCGTAACCACTACTTTGGGCGGCTCATCATTTTCTTCTTCATCTCCACCTTTTATAAAAACAACACTAACTCAGCAGGATCCTCACCAAGAGTAGGGAAAGCGAAAAAGAGGTTTGTTATCTACCCCCCTTTCCAACCTTTAGTGTCCAAGCACGCTGATACTCATTTTGGGGGGGGGGGGGGGGTTGGGTTGGGTGGAGGGGGGTATGTACCCACTGGGGTTTATTCTGTGAAAAACGAGAACAATTTTTAATGGGAACATACTTTTCTAAAACAAACTAGTTAGTCTGTTTGACAAACAGACTAACAAAATCTCCTTGCTCATAATTCAGTGCATATGCAAACTTTTTAAGAAAAAAACCAGTCACCATGAAGAGTGACCTGCTCGGCCTCGCGGACCCCATCTCGTCCCAGCCGGCTCTGCCCCCGTGGCCTCGGGCTAAGAGCGCTGGCCGGTTCACTGAGGCTTGAGTTTTACAAAACAGCCCCTACCAGGAGGTGACCTCTCCCGGCGGGGAGGGGAGGGTGTGTTACTGCTCATCAAAGACCTGCAGGACCAGACAGGCAGGAAGCGGGGTCCACAGCGTAAGCACCTCCCCAGGACGCTGCAGTGCCCGGAGGCCTGGTGGCTCGCCGCGGGCCCCGCCCACGTCCCCTCCGCCTGACATAAAAGAAGCCTGAGCGCTGCGCTTCCTTAAGGCGGATTTGAGGACGGGCCGCCCACCTTCTCGGCTGGCGCCTCCCGATCAGCAAACCTCTCCTTACTCTCAGCTCTGACGTCTGAAGCTTCGGGCACACGGGCCAGTAACAAACACTCACGTACACTCCTGTTACCACTGGAAAATTCCAGTCTCAGGCTTCCAGCACCTTCACGCCCCAATGTCCCTGTGACTGCACCTGCATCTCACCAAGGGACAGTCACCAGCGATCAGACAGGGAGCAGAAACAAGGTGATTTACAGGGCGCGCTCTCAGAGAAATCACTCCCAGGCCAAGTGCACGCAGCTGAAGACTGCGCTGAACCGCAGGCCTCTCCAGCTCTGGGTCCCTCGCCCCCCACCCCGAGCCAGAACAGCGCCTCCTGCTCCTTCCACGCCAGCACCCCACGCGCGGGGGGTCCAAGACACTGCACTCGATGCAGATACCTACCCTCTTAAAGAGAAGGGCAGCCCCACGAAACTCCCTAAACTAAACAGCAACCCTTAGGGGAGTAATTCTGGTGCTCAAGCAAGTCACAGACTGCAGGCTGAAGCAGGCGCTCTGCGAAGCGGGCGTGGTTTCCCGGCTGGGACGCCCGCGGGGTTCTCCGGGGCCGCGCCGGATGCTGCGCTTTCGCCAAGCTCTCCCGGTCTTCCTGGCGCAGTCAGCGAGGCACACACAGGACGAGCACTGAGCGCTTCACTGAGGGGCTTCCCGCAGGGATGAGGCTCAACTCAAACTCCACGTCCCTTGACAAGCAGCAGCTCCATGTCCCCGTGGCCGGCCCAGGCCCAGGCCACGCTCCACTCGCTCTATGCAGGGTGGAGGGGACATAAAAGCGGAGACCTTCACCGCAGGCCCCGCCCCGGGGCCCTGCCAAAGGACTCCCTGGAGGCAGGGCAGGATGGGACAGTGACGGAAATCCAGCTCCAGAGAAATACCTAATACCCAGCGACCAACGGGCAGCTGCGGTTTTCCTTCTCACGGGTCAACATGCGACGGCCACCTGAGGGGGGGGTCCATCGAGCTGCTTGCAAGGACCTGCATGAGTGCTATTGGCTCATGCCGCCCACGGGGGGAAGAGGGCCAGGGACGAAACCCTGCCTTCGCAGAGCTCAGGACCGCGAGGAGTGGAGGGGCTGGGACTAAGACCCAGGCCTGCCGCCTCGCTGCGGACACCGACACTGCACCCGGCAGGAACCTCTGGAAAGGGGGCCGCAACCCACTCTCGGGAAGACGGCCGATGTCCCCCAGGGCTACAAAAAGTCTACCTTCCACAATTTAAAGGGACTGCTTTGTTATAGGCCTTCATAGGCGAATCTCCTAAATACAAGCAATGCAACGGATATTCACAATCGACTTTCAACGAAACGTAATTTTTCGAAATGTCAACTCACTTCTTTTTTATATGCAAAGCCACGTGTTCCATACTTTTTTAGAGTCATTGGGCCAGGTATTTCATGTTCTTAATTTTTACTTTTATACCCTTAACCCTCACAATGACCCTGCAAAACAGCCCCCTCCCCCGCCGCCCCGCGGACACGGAGGCTGAGACTCAGGGGCGCCCAGCCGACCACCAAGGCCGCGGGCCCCAGGTCCGGGCAGGCACACCCAAGAACGCGTGATGAATGCAGGAGTAACAGCTACGGCACATCGATCTCTCTCCCTCTCACGTCAATAAATAAAAAGTAAACAGTAAAACAAAAAGAGGCCCGCCCGGCCGGCCTGGCCCCCACCCAGCCCGGACTAGAGGCCCCGCCTCCGCCCGCACAGCTCACCTTTGCAGTCGGCACCTCCGCCGTCCGCGGGCCGCTCAGGCGTCTGGATGGAAAACGGCGAAGCAGCCGGTTTATTCTGGGCACTGTCTTTGCCAAACAAACTGGAGTTTCCAGAAGGAAGTGAAAACCCGGCCAGGGGGCCAGAGTTTAACAAGCGAAAAACAGACCCATCGACTTTCTTGCCGAAATTAAACGAGGCGCTTGTCGCTCCGGGGGACGGGTCAGCCTTGTTTTCAGGCACAGCCTCGGCCCTCCTTTCGGGGGCGCCCTCCTCCCTTCTGTCCCCAGGGAACACAAACGGGGGCTCTTGCTGAGACTTGGCTGAAGCGAAGAGGGCGGGAGGCTGCGTGTCGAGTGGCATCTTGCCGGGTCCCCGGGCAGGGGCGGGGCCGCCATCGCCGCCGAGCTGCTGCTCGATGCCCGCCAGGTACTTCTCGTAGTCCCGGAAGACCGGCGTCAGGTCGCACAGCGGGTTGGCGTTCACGTGCTTCACGATCCAGTCCCGCACGCAGCAGTTGAGGGCCGCCAGCTGCCGGTGGTAGGCGCTCCCGCGGGGGCCGGGGCCCGGCGGGGGCTGCGGGCTGTCCCCGTTGGTTTTGGGATTTGAAATCTTACTATCGACCAAGGAGGCGGGGCCATTCGCAGCGACAGACCCTACAGGAAATTTGAGGTTTAAGGTTTATATAGAAGTTGACTTCCCTGCCAAGTCATCTAGATTTTTATATCACTCTTCTGATTTTCTGCTTTTATTGAATCCCATTTTGGTGGCAGTTCAAGAAGTGTGTGCACATCTCATAATTAGGATCTGGTTATCACAGAAATCAAATCAAACTTTATACAAGAACAGTATCTCTTATATGCTTATGTTAGTAATTTTAGAATAATTTTTTCCTTCAAAAAGATGCCCCTTTCACTCAGAACTGTCAGAATGTTAGTATAAAACTCAGCCCTCAAGGCTGCAGGGCAGAACGTATGTTAATACAGCTAAAATCTTAACAGAAAGTGCTTACTTTAATCACACCAGCCATTCTGACTCATTAAAATGAATCCGTGCACACATTTAGAATAACAAGCTGAGTACAGTCCAAACAGTCAGGACCATTTCCAAGAACCCTAGGTTTTCGCCCGTGACCCCATTCTCTGTTGCTAATCCCAAAAGTTCTTGACTACGTCTCTCAAAACAAGAGCAGGCCGTCAGCACATCCTGGCATGATGAATCTCGGAGAGGGGAGCCCCAAGTTTCTGGACGGCGCGAGCCAGGCCGGAAGTCCCTGGCGCACACGTCCCCGAATGAGGGCCTGCCAAGGGCTTCCTCTCCTCCTGCGACCCTCAAGCCAGCTCTAAGGGTCGTTCTCATTCCCGGCTGCAGACGTGGAGGACCGAGGTTAGGGACCTGTACTGCGGTCACAGAGCCGATGGGCCGCGGAGCCGAGGACAGAACCTAGGTCCATGCTGGCTCAGAAGCCTGCGCTCTACCACACACGAACAGCCACCGTGTCCCTAACTGCCTTCCTTTTCCCTATTAGTTTTTGCTCACAGAGCCCCAGGGCCCATGGTAAGTACAAGAAAAACATTTATGTAAAGTTAGCGTTCATGGATCACCTTTGCATAGGGGCCAGTGCGGGCAGGGGAGCCGACTCACCGAAGGCCACCTTGGTCTCGGGGGCGGCCCGGGCACTGGAGAAGGGAGAGGCGCTGGTCACGCTGTTCCCATTGGACAGTCCTTCCAAAGGCTTCGATCCAGCACAGGCACCAAACCCAGAAAACCCTCCTCCTCCAGAGGGTGCGACCAGACCCTTGAAGCCTTTAAAGGCGCCCCCGCTATCAGACTGAAACACAAAGAAAGGGCGCACATCAACTCCCTGTTCCACGACCAAGGAGCACGCGGGGGCCACTGCCTTCCCCGCCCAGCAGCGCGCAGCCCCTCTTGCCACCAGCGTGGAAGGCGCCCCGCCGGCCAAGCCAGGCACGTGCAAGAGCGCACATGACCTCGCAGCCACAGCCGCGGGGCCCGGAGCCGCCTCCTGAACGTGCCCCTTCTCAGCCCCCCGCGGCTTCACTCTCGTGTGGGGCCCCAAATGCCCCGCCTCTAAGAGCTCCCGAAGCGGCACTCGCCCCTCCCCACCGCCTGTCCTGAGAGCCCCCCAGCGCTCCCAGTGACCCTCTAGACGGCCCGCAGCACCAGCCCTCAAAGTGCATCTCCAAACCGAGAGCAGCCATTTCCTGAGTAAGGTGTCCCTTCCCCCATTAAACATCACTTGACTTTAACACCTACATCCAACTAAACACCAGTCTTAAGAATGAGATCTCAAGGAAAGAACTTGGAATTTTTTTTTTTTTTTTACTTAAAAATCTGAACAGAGCCACGGCAGAAGGCACGGCTGTGCAGGCGTACCCCCTCCCCCCACACAACAGACGTCCGGGCCAGGAGGACCGCGCTCGCGGCTGGAGCGCACCCGAGGGCTGACGGCAGCACTGGGCAGGCGTTGGATGTGGGCCGACTGCTGAATCCTGACCACGTGACCTGAAGCCGTGGGTCCCACGCATGGGAACTCCGGGAACTCCCCTCTTCCCCTCTCCGTCCTACCCGCCGCGCGTCTCGGGCCTCGGGGGCTGCGGCCCTCCTCTCCCCGCGCACTGCCCCTCGGCTGGAACTCGCCCACCCCGTCTCCTGTCCGCAGCTGGGTGAGCTCCCAGGAAGGCTCGGCGCCCGTTCGCCTTTTTCTCTGGGGCCTACACCAAGGACTTTCATACGCGGAGCGAGCGCTTTAACGAGCATTTACTGGTCTGACTGCCCCTCAGGTAGGAAGCTGTGGGAAATACTCACTTCACATCCCGCAGTTCTACGCTTTGCTTTCTTTATGGCTCTGTTCTTCAAGACTTCCTCACTGGCCACCGAGAACGTCCCCACCTGCGGGAGCGCGCAGATCCAACGGCAGGAAGGCAAGGCCAAAAAGGAGAGAAAACGCTCAGCCCAAGTGCTAGACCAGGCAGACCTACCTAATATCTGCCAGTTTTAAAGTGCTGTTTATAGTCGTAACACAAATTATAGAGAGGACACACCAAAATAAAGCTCGTGTCCGTCTCCTGCCTCTTCCAGCGCTGGCGAGGGGAACCAGAAGCGCTCGAGGACCTGCGGGCCCCAGACCTGAACCGCAGAGAAGACTGCGCGCGCGAGTCTGACAAGACTAAGCCCATCAGAACTCCAGTGCACACTGCTCAGCACAGTCCTCCAAGACTTCGCACACACTCACAGGATCACTACAAGTTAGGGTGCTCTGAAACCCAGGTGCCAATCTCACATCTTCCCACTACTGCCTTCACACAAAAAATCTGCATTTATGAAACATACACATAACTTTTAAAAGAGCTCTGCCCACGTGCCCATCACCTGAGAGACCCCAAAGGCCCAGGGACCCTGAGTGGCCGCTGGAAGAGTTCCAGAGGGGGCTCCGTGTGCCCCGCCCCCAACGAGGTGCGCACTGGGGCCTGTGGCTCCAGCTTATCCCTCCCAGTCCCTTTACCCTGTATGACTGGCACAAAACATTTTCCGTAAGAAGTCCTATAGTTATTTCAGAAAAGGTTTAACTTAGAGATCTCTGCATCCCTAGAAGGGAGCGTTTAGTTATATGTGTCCAAGTTAAATGTAATGTCCTTCCATATCTATTCATGAAATCTATCCAAACGGGAGTTCCTTTCATTCCTGAGATATTTTAATGTCAAAGCGAATCTTTATATGGTAGCCTGAGGCTTAGCAGGCCCAGACTGGGGCTGTGCCTAAGACCCGGAAGAGACTCAGGCACCAAAGTCTGGGTTAAGAAGCACCACGTCAGTTAGACATGTTAAAGGCCCTGTTAAAATATTAGCAGCCTGTGATTTTTGACTTCCCTCACCGTATTAGTACATGCATTTTTAAGGGAAAAAATATTAGCTGCTAGGAAATAAGACTCAGAAAGAAGAGAGCCGCCTATGAATAAGCTCAGAAACACTTGTACAGATTCTTTAATTTTAATTTTTTTTTACTTGACTCTACTCTGTTAACTTGAAAGGCTGACTTGGTTACGGATTTCCTCCATGAACCGGCCTGGGAGTACCAGCCTGCTGTGTTCTACTCTTTGTAAGACAAAAATCGGAAGATTTCCTCAGGGAAGACCATCCTTATTTTGATGGAAATGAAACTAGGCCAATTTAAAGTCTATTCCTATGAACGCCACTGTCGGGGAGAGGGTCTCTCATCTACAAGGACATGAAGTAAAGCTGGTGCCTAGAAGATCAGAGCAGTGAGGTGACCTGGCTCTTCTGGGGTCTGAACGGCGACTGGGGGTCCACCGCTGCTCCAGTTCACACGGAGATGGCTGACTCCGCCCCAGTCCTGACAAAACCAGGGGTCGGCCTGCTGCAGGCAGGTGCAACTCAGGGGGCAGGCGCCCCACGAAGGAGCAGACCCTAGAGGGACCAGGCGCCGGGGGCAAGGCACATCCGTGTAACCAACAATCGCCGCCACTAAGCACGGCCCTACGACACCATTCGGCTTTCCTGGACAGGCCAGTCTGGAAAAGGCTTTTCCACGTTACCACTGACTTCCTGAGGAACCGGAGTTTAAACCTAGAAACAGGAGGAAACCATTCTTAGGGAAACTGCTTTTTACCTCTTCTGCTTCATCTTCCTGATCCCAGTTCCTGTCTGTCAATTCCTTCTCGGCAATTCTTTTGGCCATTTTTGTGAACCTAAAAGTAAAAAGGTTACAAGTAAAAAGTTTGCCTTTCTAGACCCAGAAATTACTTACAAAGGATTTTTGAAATTCATTCTAGCATGAAATGAGATAAAAACTATCCTCGGTACTGCCGGGGCTGCCTTACCGAGGCCTTTACCCAGGCCCGCCCAGCCTGGCCCGCCCCCCAGCAGCTCCACGCAGGCCTATCTGAGAAAAATTAACCTGCAACCGCAAAGTGGGGTTTTAAAAACCTGACATCTTAAGAAGTGCTCAACTAACTTATTTTATGCGAATTCTAATCTTGGTACAGACAAAACATTCTAAATGTTTTGTAACCTTCTCTCCAAGGATGTCCAGCGAAGGGGCCCCTTCTTAGGCTGGACGTTTACTAAGGCGCCCCGGCCGCTCGGCGCCAGCCCCCTTCTTTAGGCTACAGGTGGCTGGTGCGAACACATTTCCCACAATCAAGCCTCTGATTACCCCGAACAGTACACTGCTGACATGGGACATCACTGAAAAGCTCAAAATGTAAGTAATAGAAACGTGTTGGCATTCTGAGAATTTGTAACTGTTTCAAAAACGAGCCTCGAGCTCAGTCACCACCACACCGCGGGGCAGGGTAGGCGGCAGGACCTGGCAGCGTGGCCTCCGCAGCACAGAGGGTGCGAGCGTCTGCCCCTTAACACTCCGTCTGTTTTCTGATCCTACCCCGTACCCTTTGCTGGCAAACGCGAAAACAAAAACCATCAGTGGCGAGGGCCACGGTGAGCGGGCAACTCACCAGCCAAGAGGACCGAGAGCCCCCGCTGCCTCTGCCGCCCGCCTCGCCCCGGAATTCCTCTGTCAGCGGAGCCCGCCCTTGCCCTCCGCGCCACAGGCCCAGGGCAAGTTCCTGGAGCTTCACGGTCATCACAACACAAACTGTCACACCTCCTACTCTTCAGTTCCTAGAAAACAAACCTCAAACGCTGACGCTCCCAAGTCTTCCAAAACCTGACGCCCGGTAATCACACACGGGGCTTCCAGCTTTGAGGAACAGCCCAATAATCTTTGGATCGTTTTCTAAAGTCTCCCCGCAGACTTTTGGCCAGTTTTCGTCCTCATTTTTGAAATCCGAATAGAAACAAGCCATGTGCTCCTGTACACAACCCCCCCTGAACGAGCACTGCCCAGAGCCCAGGCCTCCGCACGCTCTTCCGGCCGTTTTGCTGCTCAGTAACGAACACGTCCGCCAGGGGGCAGAAGAGGGGAGAAGATGAAATAGTCATTGTTGCTATTAACTATTAATTGTTAATAACTTGTTATTAAATGGAAAAAGGAGGTGGAGCTCAAAGTAGAAAAACTGTAATAAAGTAGAAGTTTAACCTTTAAGTCATGTGCACGATGGAAGAGAGAGAACCATCAGAGCAAACCCCTCTGAAGGCGGGGGCCCAGCTCGAGCTGCAGCCACCATCCCGCCAGCGCCCGACCAGAGGGCAGGGACCTGCGGCGCGGGCTGGCCCGACCGCAGCCACCCCAACCGCAGCCACCCGGACCTGCCCAGCCTGGGACAGGCGTCCCAGCTGCTGCTGACCCAGCGATCGGGACGCCACAGAGTTGAAAAAGCACAAAGGGGAGATGCTGGCAGCCTGGTGTTCCCACTTTCTTGCAGGAGTCCGTGGGCAAGGTGTTTAATTTTTGTGCCTCAGTTTCTTCATCTGTAGAACAGGGGGGTACGAAAATTAAATGAGGTAAACAAAAAAACTTAGTTTAGACTAGTGCCTTTCTACTCTAAACTAACGGCTTAATAAATATTATTAAAGAAACAAAGACAAAGGATATAAAATACTATTTTTTCCTCCCAACCTTAAAAATTCTACTGCGGAAGAGGGGACTCTACCTGAATTACGAGCCAAGCTTAAATACATTTTATTTCAAAGCATGGCACTTCAGACAGTAAATTCTCTTTTTATGCAAGGTGAGGAAAAAACATCCCCGTTAAGTACTTAGAATGAGGCCTGGAACCCCAGAGAGTCTTTTGCACTGGCTGTTACTCTCAGAAATTAAAACAACGTTTGGGCCTGTGGTTAAAAGGCATCAAGTTATGTAATGATTTCTAGGAAGCACTGTGATAGGAAACTGAAACTTGGAATGGAGGGAAGGTGCGTGGTCTCTACCACCGGCTCCTGCCCAGCCCCAGCGTGCTGACCGCCCGAGGCGGTGGACTTTAGTCCACACCCGCGTACCCGACTTAGAAAACACTTTTGGCCATACTTGAAAGTGTGGTGCTGGGGACCGAGGGGTGAGGGGTGGGGAGGAGAGCAAGGGTTGGACCCCGGAGACCCACACGCCAGGGGAAAACGAAACTGCTTCTTTCTTAAAGGAACAGAGTAATGGCCCGGCACTGCAGTAAGAAAGTGAAGCCCGGACAGGGGGGGCGAGAAGAGACAGGTGAACGGCCAAGGGGGAAGAAGTACCGAGAGGAACCGCTAGGAAGTAAAGCAGAAAACCTCGCCAGGACAGCCCCGGCCCGCTCTGGCCTCTGGCCTCCGCCGGGGCCCAGCACCCCGGCGAGCCTTAGTCAGGTCGGACACCGCAGCCCCAACATGCCGGCCCGGATCCCGACTTCACAAACAACCCCCGACTGCGTGGCTGCTGTCATCCCGCCCCACCCTCCCGAGCTTCCCCCACCGCTCCGCGCCCCATCCCCAGGCCTGGGCCCTGTACGCTGATCTGGCTCCCCAGGACCCCCGTCCAGGCCGGGGTCCCGTACGCCGATCTGGCTCCGACTCCCCAGGGCTCCATGTCCAGACCCGGGTCCCACACGCCGATCCGGCTCTGCTCCCCTGGTCCCGGCCCCCGGCCGGCCGTCGCGGCACCGGGCTCCGGGGCCCGCCCGCCTCTCACCTCCCGGGCGGCTGCCGCAGCACTCGCTGCGTTGTGGGCGCGGCGAAGCTCGAGTGCGCGGCGGCGCTCGGATGTGCAGCGGCTGCTCGTCGCCGGGTGAGAGCACCTGGCCGCTTCCGGTGCGCGGAGATTCTCGAAGGACTCGGTGATCAGCAAACCCCGAGTCTCAAACACCATGTCCCCTGAGGGCCTCGTCTCTCAGCGTTCCGCAGGGAGTGGGACAGTCGTCCGCTCAGCCGGAAACTGCTGCGAGAACGGCGCAGAACACGGTCCAGGCCGCCATTTTGTAACTCGAATCTACCCCGCAAAACCAATTCGAAAAAAAAGGGAGGAAAGAAACGCCCGCGTCCAGCTACCACGCAAGCGCGCCGGAGCCCCGGTCAGCGTCCCCTCCAGCAGGGGGCAGCGGGGCCTCACGCGGCGCAGGCGCACAGCTGCTTGGAAACCGTCGCCGAGAGGAGCGTCCCTCTTTCACGCATGCGCGCGCCGGCCTTTGCCGGGGAGCCGGCGCCCGCAGTTTATGCACGTTGGTCACGTGTCGCCCGGTGTTCCTGGTGCGGGGCTGTCGCGCTTGTTATACGCGAGGCGCTCAGGGGAACCACGGTCAGGCACGGAGCCCGAGGTGTGCGGTGTTCCGTGTGGGGTGCGGCAGGGCTCAGAGGAAACGGGCCGTGGTCCGGGAAATGAGAGCGACTTTGGGGGAGCGTCACGTGGGGAGCTCGGCGCCGCCACCGCGACCCAGGGAGCTGCCCCTGTTGTCCTGCCACGTGGTCGCCCGCGGTGTACCTGGCTGCGGAGCCAAGAGGGCGCCCTTGATGGAGGAGGAGCGGACCCCTTTGATGAGCAGCTTGTATTTGTTTCCCGTGGCGGGTGAATTGAGGCAGAAAACCTTGCTGGAAGCTGCGCAACTTGTTGGACTCGACGGAGGCAAAGCCTGCAAAGCGTGTTTCTAAACATCTGAACTGTGGCACCGGCACACCCGTCCAGCGTCCGGATTCGTGTGCTTGTGTTTTTGCTTTATTTTAGTGAAGCGTTTCAAGCGACAGGTTAAGCTGTACGAGGCAGATCGGCGTTGCCCAGTCCTTCTTGATCCATGATGAAAGGGTCTTAACCATAAGATACTACGGGACTTAGACCCGTAATTAACTAGTTTAGAAAACTTGCTTCAGAAAAGGAACATTCTTAGAGCAGTGGTTCTTGGCATTTGGCCAAGAGGTGTTTGTGGATACACTTGAAAATGCAAAGAAAAATTTTGCATGTAGGCATGTGGAAAACCAGTTTGCATACAATTTCAGGGTGTATTTGAACCCTCCCTGAAATCCTACCCAGGGACCCCCGTGTTAAGGACGCCTTATTTAGACACTGAGTTGAACGTATAAAGGTTAAAAAAAACGTGGCCCCTGCTCTGGGCATATAAGAAAAAGTCAGATTTATTCCCTGCCATGACATTTACTTTCCCTAAGACCAGAAATCCAGAACATAGATGTTGCCAGATGTTTGTTCTTTTTCTGAGATAGAAGTGAAAAGTAACACCCAGCCAGGGAACTGTATCAAATGTTTATCTTTCAGTACGTTCATGAGCTGGATGGAATAATGTGAACTGTGTGCATAACTAGTCAAAAGAATATTGATGAATGATGTATTGCAAAAAGAGTTCCTTATAGCATGCACTTCGGTGTCTTTTTTGTTGTTTAAATTTTTTATTGACTTCAGAGAAGGGAAGGGAGAAAAGCCGATTTGTTGTTCCACTTAGGCACTCACTGATTCTTGTGCGTGCCCTGCCGGAGGATGAAACGTGCAGCCTTGTTGTATCGGGGTGGCGCCCCAACAAACAGCTACGCGGCCAAGGCCAGTGTTTCTGTTTTTATCAACGGAAGCAGCACTTACAATACAGACCCTTGAGGGTGACACGTAGCTTGTGAAAGCCATGCAGCTGGTTAATGGTGGAGCTGGGGCCAGAGCCCAGGCCCCGTGTCCAGCCCATCGCCGCATTCCGCCTGCCCTTTCAGCACTGAATGCCTGGTGCGGGGGACTCCGCTGGTGTCTGGTAGCAAGCCACAGGTGTCCTTTGGTCTCGTCTCCCTGTTCTGGGTCAGCTTCCTCATGCTCCATGGTGACTGCTCTAAATCCTTACTGCTTACACCTTTCTAGCCTCCTTTCCCCCAGCCCCCAGCCTCAGCTCTTGCTTCACCGTCCTTAGAACGTAATAGGCACTCAGATAGTTACCCAGTGGACAAACCCTTCTTTTTCTGAGTTCATTTCTGATGAATAGCTTCTGAATCTGTATATTTGGATCTGTGTCTGAAGCTTATTCACCTTAAACTGTTATCTGGTGCCTTACAAGTTGAGTGTAACTTTTGCCTTGAACATCAAAGCATAATCATCAGCCAACTTGCTGTTAAAATTGTAGGTAAAAAAAAGGGGCCGCACACTGAGCCCGACAGGCTCAGGGGAGGTCAGCACGGCGGCCCCAGAAACTCAGACAGGAAGTGACCTCACAGGACGTCGGAACGTAAAGTTCCTTGCTACAAACAAGTCGTGGTGAGAAGTCACATCCTAGGCCCGTAGCTTCCCTGACAAAGGTCAGTCTTTACCTGAAGGGAGCCTGTCCGTTGTCTCCTTGCACCTAAATACCACGCCCTTGGAAAGTGAAAGTAGCCTCCTTTTCCAGACCCCTCGGTGCCGTGCAACCCCCCGCCCCCCCAGCGCAGGAGACCACCGAGCCCCTCGCTGCTGTCTTGTTGCCCACGTGCCCTCTCCATGGGCTGTAATGTTAAATATTAACTATCCCGTACCCACCAATAAAGAAGTATGTGTCTCTTTGTTTTACTCTTTATTCAGCCTCAGAGATTTCTCTGCGTTGCTTTCTCCCAGCTCCCTTATCTACCATCTGGATTTCACGTAACCCTCTTATGTTTCCTCCTCTGATTCTAATGTGTAAAATAAGATGTAAAACCGCCATTCTGCAGAGGATTTTCTCAGTCCATTGAGATTTTGCTTCCTGGCAATTATCAGTTTGGCTCAAACTAAAAAATTCTCTATGGGTTTGGGTGTTTCTTAGGTCGACAATACATAGGATGTTCCAACATAAGAGACACAGCTCAGGAGTGATACCTTCTTTGTTGTTGTTGTTAAAGAAAGATTTTATTTATTTTTAGAGAGGGGAAGGGAGGGAGAGAGGGAGATAAACATAAATATGTGGTTGCCTCTCCAGCTCCCCCGACAGGGGACCTAGCCTGCAACACCAGCAAGTGCCCTGACTGGGAATTGAACCGGCAAGCCTTTGATTCGCAGGCCGGTGCTCAATCCACTGAGCCACACCAGCCAGGGCTGGAGTGAGAGACTTCCTTATATTCACATTTCTTCTGTTGAAATGTGACTTGTTAAAGTCGCAACTTTTATTCTTGCAGTAAGAGTATTTATCTCTTAAGGCTAAGGAAAATAGCACATTTACTTCTCAATTATATATAGTAACGTAAGTTAATTGTTGCCTTTCTGATGCAAATAAAAAAAGACATGCATATAATAGTACATTAGCTGACTTGCACAGTACGTGGTGGATTTCAGCGCTTACCAAAATGACAGCTTTAGACTGCTTGTGCCTCAGGAGGACAGCGGCGGCCTGCGTGGGGACAGACCCCTCCCGCCGTTGAATTTGGCTGCTTCCATTTAGTGGGGCTCTTTGTTCCTCATTTTATGAAATAGTCCCCTAAAGGAGTTAGCCATTTTTTTCTGCAATCTGCCTCTAAAAATCCCTTTCAATTTGTCAACCCCTGAGGATCCTCAGGGTCGCCTGGATGGTTATTTTCACCTTTACGTTCACAAATATCCACACATGTTGGCTTACCTACGTTACCTAATTCAAAACGAGTTCATGGCGCTGTAATCTTAGGTTCCCTTCTGCTGCTAGAGTTCCGTGACATTGTGCCAGCTTGCCACTGTGATCGAGCCACAAATGTCTCAAATCATTCACGCCTCGTTTACGTTGTAAAGAAAGTGGCAAGATAATATTTCTTGAATTCCAGCTGCACGCTCTGGCCTTTGTTTTAGGCAGCCTTCAATCTTGACATCGCAATCATTCTGTTGGACCTGCCGGGAAACACCCTGTAGCCACAGGAAGCCTGCAGGACCACACCATGCTCCTGACTGAAGGAATAATGGTGGAGGCGTCAGTCGCCAGCTCAGCTGGGGGGCTGCGGGCCCGGAGTGGGCCTGCGGGTGTTCCCAGCTCATGGAAGTCGGCGCCTCTCTTGTGTCTGGAGTGACCTCTTTGAATCAGAAATGAAGTTTTCTCTTTATTTGGGGTCATCTGTTGACCGATACCTGTGCTCTGCCCTAGAGTGTCTTTCACCTAAAGAAAAGGGAAGAGAACAGGTAGATGGGCAGACAGTGTGCAGCGCTGAAAAGAGCGTTGCGTGTCGCTGCTTTTCCCGTTCTTCCGGGCTCCGTGAATTTGGCTTTGGATACAATGGAATCTCTGTTCTCAAATGGAATTCGTTCCGAAAGGCTGTTTGAGTAACAATTTGTTTAAAAACCAAATCGTATAGGTGACCGATCATACAGGTATCCACATGAAAGGGCAGTTGGGTCAAGAACCAAAGTTCTGTTCAACAACTGAGACATTTGTTCCATGAACAACTTGGTCGAGAACCAAACTGTTCGAGATGGGAGCCGTTCAAGAACCGACGCTCTGCTGTACTGATAGGATGACCTTCGCAGTCAAGAGAAGATAAATACAAAGCAGCAGAATGAAGAAGAAACTCAAGAGTTTGGAAAATTCCCATTTCCCCAGACCTGTCTGAGAACCCAAGTCTGGCGGATGGGGAGAGGGCCGGGTGCTCCCCGCGAGTCTTGCGTCCCCCGGTGGGAGGCCCTCCTTCTCTAGCGCTCGGGGAGGAAGAGGTTATCCACACCAGGAGAGGGAAGGAAAATGAGTGAGACAAGACAGGTGGTTAAGAACCTGAGCTTTTGAGTTTGATTCCTGACCATGCCACTTAGCAGCTGGATGGCGTGGGACAAGCTGCTGACCCTTTTAACTCAGTTTCTCAATCTATAACTCTTCCTGGGGTTGTGAGGCTTAAATAAGAACATTCATGTAAAGTGCGCAGTAAAGGTTCAGGAAAGGGACCATTAGTATTAAGCCAATGGCTCTGTTTTTAAGTTCCTTGGAGCTCTGTCCCCCAACACCATGAAAGGTTTTTAAGTATTTCTTTTTCTAGTGGGCTTCTTTTGTTAAAAGATGTTGTTTTAAAAGCTTTATTTATGAAACAATAATCCAGTTTCCCTTTACTAGTCAAAAATGCCGCTGACGCCCTGAGGGTCGCGTCAGCTTCTCATAATTCCAGCTCGAAGCAAAGAACTGCGCCGCCGCCGCTGGAGCAGCTGTACCACGAGTCAGGTTTGTGATTCCCAG